CGCCCGGTTTGAAGAATCATCGGAAAGAATCATGCTTGCAACAAGCAAAGCGATTCGCAGACTCATGTCTAGTGCGTCGAGCAACCGTGGAGAGTTGAAAGCAAAACACTGCGCAAGGAGAAGCTTGGTTGTTGTTCGACGGTACAAGCTGCGTTCATTGCGGGAAAGCGTTTGTGCAAAGCGATCAATTTCAGATGGTGCAGCAGCCGGCGTGCGGAGCTGTGGGAGGAGGCGCCAGAGAATGCCACCCGTTTCGTTTGAGGCCTTGGTAGCAAATGGTGCTAGCAGGGACGAAATCAACTTTTCGTTTTCAATTCAACACGTGCGTCCAGCTTCCTTCTCAAAAGCCTCTTCGGCCAAAGGATACTTAACAAACCGTGAATAAAACGCTGGGTTTGTGATTGCGATCTTCAGAGTGTTGCCATCCATCTGCTTCGCGTTGTCATCTAGGCTTGGCGAACGTATACAAATTTCAGCATCATCTCTGGCAGGCTTGTAAATCAGATATAATGGCTGAATGCATCCCTTTACAGCATACGACAAAAACCGTTGAAAGGTCTCTTCTAAGTTTTGCTCGTCAAATGAGTAGTCAGGCTCAGCAGCCGACTGAGTAGGCTCCAAGGCTAAGCCACGTCCATGCCACCGCAGCGCATTCTGAACCAGGAGAACAAAGTTTGACACAAGCAGGTGCATCGAAACTTCAAGGTTGGGGTCCGACCAAAGCTGTGCAACAACCATGTCTGCACAGATGGTGTTATCAAAATTTCCGGCACATGTTAGCGGGTCCGCAGCGAGGATGGACAGCGGCTGTGAAGATGATGCCGAAGATCGATCAAGGAACATCTGTTTCTCGCTGACAAGGTCGGTTTTCTCGGCTGCGGAGAGCAAGTAGGCTGGATTTCCGTCATGTGTTTCCAATATAATGTGTTTTAGCACTGTTTCCGAGTCGTACAGATACCAGAAAGACGCCAATGCTGGATCATATCCTAGAATGCTTGGCGGAGTGACAAGGTATGCGAACGCACAATCGCCGTCATCAATGCCGTTCTTCTGCAGGAACAATGCAAGTTTTTCTGCAAGGGAAAGACGCGAGTTGTACTGTCGCAGATGATTGGCTGGATTTACGGTGATCCACCATTTGGTATGTTGAACCGCCTCCTGCTGCTTATTATCTCCGACCGGGATTCCAATATAAACCATTGACCACGGCTCTCCTTGTAATAGGCTCACTCGGCAATGCATGCATAATGGCGGGAGCAGTTGTTCCTCTATGGTCTTGTCACCCTTTCCCTCCCCCTTCCCACTTGCGAGAAATCGCTCTCTACCCACAATTCCACCAGCAAAAAGCCCGCACATGCCTAAAAGGGAAAAAACTTGCAGATGCTTCTGCATTGTTCCGTCCTTGAGATCTAGCCATGCAAAATCACTGGTACTACAAAGCCTCCAGGCGCCAGTGAAGAGCGAATAAATCGAATAGACATTGAGGAAGAGGTTCAAGTCACTCATCCACCCATGACTACGGCAATACATGCGAACGATCCAGGCGGGTTGAAAGAGCAATACCCGTGCTGGGAAAGTGCGGTGTGGAGGGGTGAAAATACTCCATATCAGTGTTGAAAGGAAACGAAGTATGAGAAGGACTTGGCCACCAAAACGCCAGTCAGCACGGTTCGGGTCTACCAGTTGGTCCATGCGAGAAGAAGGAAGGGAACTGTCATATGATATGAATACGCTGGGACGAGACCGGTACTAGTTTTGAACCTTGATCCAAGGGGCCATAGACGTTTTAGGGTTAGGACTTGGATGATGGCAGCCTTCCAAAATAGGCAGGATCGGCAGCGCCAAGACGCCCGAAAATTTTTGTACATGTTTTGAGGAAAGCTCCATCCACATACAGACGGATAAAGTAAAGTACAATGCGATAGGTACAGTGCCAAAATCAGCCAATCCACGCAAGAGCAACGCCCATACTCCTAGACCCATCCCCATTCAAGACACCAAAACGTACTGTTGACTCCATTACACATTAGGCATGGCTACCGCCCGTCAAGCCCCAGGACATTATTTTTGCCGTGAGCGCTGCCATCGCCCACGCTGACTCTGCCAACAAAGTCTTTTAGGCCGATTGACTTTTTCGGGCTCTTAACGTTGCACTTTGCACGAATTTCTTCGGCCGATTCCTCTGCCAGAGCCGTGATTCCGCCACCCTCGCGGTCGTCAAGCACCTGCTGTCTCCCGGCAAGGGCCTGAAGGGCGGGCAATCCTCGCGGAATGCTGGGCTCTGCAACGGCCTGTGCAGCAAAAGCGGTGGAAGAAGCGTGCGCAGCTTCGGAAACATAGGGACTTGCTTTGATGGCCAAAGTCTCGGCGTCAAGCTGTTTCTGAGCTGCAATACGCGAGCGCTCGTAACGTACTGAAACGTCGCCACCCGCCCACTTGGTTCCTAACGCTTTGTCCCAGAAGGTGAAGAATGGCTGGGAAAAATTTGTTTTGATGCCCCAGCTCTGGTGATGCACGTCGTGGTAGGCCGCATTGTTGCTAGTGAAGTGCTGCAGAGGATCGAGTGGGAACCTATATCCGCAATGATCATCGACCGTCTTGATAGTGCTGAGAGTGAAGAACCACATGGATTGGCGCACAGTCATGCCACTGACCAGGAATGCGATGCCGGTGCCCAGCGTATCGAGAAGAAAGCCCTCGAACGGATGGTTGTACAGCGCACCGTAGGCATAAGGCACGTACAGCCGGTGATGGCGGGAGTGGAAGCGTGTGTAGAGGTACTTGTTGGTATGCATCAGGCGGTGGAGAAAGTACTGCCATGTGTCTACGATCATCATGGCCAGCAAGAACTGGAAGAAAGTGATGACCCAGTGGTAGATGAAGCCGGCCGCTACGAGTTCCCACACGGCAAAATCGAGCTGATCCGAGTACACTCCGCCCTTGAGTGCGCCGCTGAGGGCCTCGCTTCCTACCTTCTCCGCCAGGCCCGCAGCATCTACGCCAAAGAAGCCGAGTAAGCCCGGAATGAGCTGTTCCGACTTTCGAATCCGCTGCGCCCACACGGCAACTCTGTAGTCTTCGTCGCCCGTCATGAGCTCTGACTCCGTGTATGTTAAGGCCAGGCCGACGGCCGTCTGGATAATCTGCTGCACCACAACGTCCCGTAATACTTCCCACCGAGACACATGGTTCCGCTTCAGCACCTCAGCAGGCGTGTGCAGACGGTACTGCGGGAACAGATCCCACATGTCGATTGCATGGAAAACGAGCGAGACGACCCAGTATGCGACCACGGGAAGCGCTAGAGCGAGGATCGGATCTGCCACCCCCGGAATGACCGGTGGAAGAGGCGTCAAAGAGTATCTGGGAAGCAGCGGGAGTGAACTGTTCATGTTGTTGAGGATGGAACAATGGCTGTCGGCGCATTAATTCGAGCGCGGCTGCGCAGGGGATCGACTCATGTTGTTGCCATTTTTGGCATGGCGCAGTATCATTTCTAACGTAAGATAACGTCTTTATTTCCGCCCGTCCGGATCAAACAATTACCCCTATGCAGAACCCCCCTGTTCCATCAATGTTAATCAATCTTCCAACATGATTGCCTTTTGCGCAACCTGTGCCGCTATTTTAACGAGAAAACCACGTCCGGTAGGGAATTGCTTTGTTGCGGCAGATGCATCTGCCTGCGCCGCTTGAGAGCGAATCCACGCTTCGAAACCTATTGCGCCCATTGCCAAGCCACGTCCAACCCACCCTCATATACTTCTCGAGCCGAACACATCGAGGACGAGCTGCCAGCATACCCATCTTCCAGTCGGTTACAGCTAGTCAAGAAGAAAGATGAACCTGCTCCCGACGTTCTTCACTTTCTGTCTCCTGATGATACCATAGCAAGCTTGGCACTATCCTACAACGTCCCAGTAGATGTTTTGCGGAAGAAGAACAGCATATTTTCAGGTCATTTGATACAAGCAAGAGTGACAGTGTTGATTCCTGGCTCTCACTACACTGCAAGTGTTTCCTTGTCGCCGTCTCCAGTGGAAGGTGAAGAAGCCGACGCCAGGAAACGTAAAATAAGACGCTGGATGATTGCTTGCAAGGTCATTGAGTAAGTGCCGACTCTATTTGACCATGGTTCTCCTGATTCAATTGTTAGCTATGACGTGGCCGTCTTTTATCTAGAATGAAGCAATTGGGACCTGAATGCTGCAATTCGTATTTACGGAGCAGACAAGCAGTGAGAGAAAATGAACCCTATGCATATGAGGACTTGACGATTAAGTAAAATCTTAGACTTATAGGCGCTGAAGGTTGATAGAATAGCAACAGTATGTATCAAAAGCGTTCGTTCGGCGGCGAAGAATTTATAAGATACTACAAGAGCGGTTTCATGATTGTTACTTTGTGCCTTCTTATGTTGATTGTGCCACGTTTGAGTAGCTATACTATAGCTCGGTCTCCAACTGGAAGCATCGTACGACATTAAAATGGGTTCATTGCGAAGGCTGGGATGAAGATCATCAGTGCGAAGCGTTGAAGTGCAACATGTCAAAATAAGGCGACATATTCTGCCTAAAGCAACGGTCAGTCACAGCAGGAAAGCAACTGTCAGAATTGGCCCAACGAAATCATACACACTGGTGTTGCTCCCAAGTGACTTCCCTGTATAATCTTTGGAAGCGAGTATGGTTAGATACTGTTCACTAGTTTGTTGGAAGCATGCCGGCGAGTGTTCACAATGTTATTGCTTTGGAGATTCGTATGCCGTACATATGGATTGGATCAACAGGAATTTATTCATACGGCCCCTTTGTCTGGGCTTTATGTGGTTTGATACGAGAATATCGTTCATACTGCGTTCGCAGATCAGTGAAGAGTTCAGTTTGGTCATGAGTAATTCAACAGGTGCAAAAAACCCCCAGAATTCCAAAGCCGGTGCGGCCTTCGTTGCGTTGCTTCAAAGGTTGACGATTTATCTGTCTCGTAGATAAAAAAAGTAGCGAGCAGCAAGGGGCTCGAACCCTCAGCCTTTGGTGATCAACCCTTACGACCAATTTGAGTCCAAGACCGAAAACCAACGCGCTACCATTGCGCCAACCGCCCTTACTTATCTAAGATCATGAATATTCATTATATAAACTCGCCAGAAATAAGTAACTACCAAGTTCCAGACATATTGTCCGACAGGTGGACAATTTGGTTTTACGCTCGAATTATACCTACTAACAGGTGGGATCGGGAGGAGAGAGAAGTAAATGCAAACGGCGGCCACACAGGAAGTCAACCGTCAACGAAGTTGATACGAGATCTAATGCGATTGCTGACGCTTCTATAGTGATTGATTTTGAGGTATGGGCGGGTCCCTAATTGGTCCTTTCGAAACATTCTGTAGAAGGGAAAGGGATTTGGCTGCGATGGCGCAATGAAAGTGGTTCCAAGGAGAAATCGACACGTGTGGGTTCTTGGGTGCAACCAAAGCCCGCACAATTCATATCCTCGACGCCATGGATGAGCTTCAACTACTTTAGCTCATTCCCGAAGCCAAATAGGGTGGTTTTGAAAGATATCCTGGCATTCGCCATGGATCTCAAGCTTCCAGATTAATGCTCTGACCGAAACGTCCGTATAGGGCTGATTTGAGCTCGCTCATTTCTTCCCGCAGTGTTGTCAACTTGGCTTCCAGCGTTTTCGTCTCTGCTGCAATCCGTTCTGCTGATTCTGATAAGAGGTCCTGCACCCGTCCTACCGGCAGCATGAAGAACGAATCTCCAATTTTGTAAGCCACCTTTTCATCTTCGTCCGCTAGCTCTAGCTCGTTCGACATTTCTTCTGTCTCCTCTCTCTCCTTCTACCATTTGCCGTCAGTTCAAGGCAGGTAGCGAGCTGAACTGGCGTTAGAACCAACCTCTTTGGCCTTCAGATCATCTTCCAGAGATTTTTGGTGTCCGTGGAGGCGGCTGAAGCGATTGATTCGGCCCTGGTCTTCCTTGCGTACTTCTTTCTCCATGCCCATTTGAGCCTCTTCCTCGCGTGATAGCTGGGTAGAAGAGTTAGGCGGTTTAGTGGTCCCAAGTTCCAGCTTACCATGCGCGGAGCCAACATTTTGTTTAGGAAGGTTGTCTTGCAACGCAGGCTTAAGATATGGAAATGGTTACGTTATGATACGCTAAAGTTAACGCATACTTTCTGCTGACCCAACGCAGCTGACTCAGCCCCCACCATTCCCCGCGCTGACGTCATTGGAGCGGGGCTGCATAAAGAACAGAGATATCAGTGGCGAAGATCATTTGGTCAACACTCTGATGCACCATGGTGTTTGGGGGACGTTCTGAATTTATCGATTTCATTGCTCCTCCGGGCCATAGCTTGAACCTCTACGACCGCAGCAAGCCGCCCAATGACCAGCCAGCCAACGATGCCGCTGACGCATCGAAGGCCATCTCGCAAGGGTTTATCGACGCAATGGTGGTGAGAGACGATGTGTTTGTCAAGGAGCAAGGGGTGCCACGAGAAAACGAGCTGGACGAGGATGACCGGCGAAGTTTCCATTGGGTCGCCTACGCTTCGGTTGCTTCCAAGAATCGGCCTGCTGATGGCCGCCGTTCAAGTACAAGCACCAAGATGCCAATTGGCACCATTAGGCTGGTGCCTCCGCCGCACACACCGCACATTCCACCGGGAGCAAAATCAGCGGTGCACACAGACGAGGCGTATATCAAGCTAGGCCGACTTGCGGTGCTCAAAGACTTTCGCAAGGCCGGCATATCCCGGCTGCTAATTGACACTGCGCTCACCCACGCACGCGATCATTCGTCAGACGTGCTCCCATACTGCGATCCCACGCGGTTGGAGGCGCTTCGGCAAAGCTCGGGTGGTGGTAAAGAGTTTGATTGGAACGGCCTTGTGCTGCTGCATTCCCAGGTGGGCGCCAAGCGGGTCTGGGAGCGGTACGGCTTCAAGCTAGACAAGGAAATGGGCGAGTGGGAAGAAGAGGGAATCCCTCATGTAGGTATGTGGAAACGGCTAGACGTGAGCGGGAGACGGAGGAGCCGACAGTGGTAGGTGCGATGAACATAGACTAGGCATACAAGACGTAGCACAAAACGACGGACATGACCATTGCGACTTGTGTAGGAGAGAACAGTCGCCGTAGATCATTGGTGTAGTTCAGATTATTTACTAACGTGTGTGTGCGCCGTTTCTTGGCAAACCGTCACCCCACGCACGTTCACAGTGCGTCCCCTATGACGCCGGCAGCGTGACACCTGAACAGTCATCATATCTCTGCGCGCATCCTCGACGCCAACGCCAACATGAGCAGCGCTCGGTCAAATAATCCAAACCTCGCCAATGGAGATGTGCGCCAGATGCCCATCGACGTGTCTGGCCGCAAAGACCACGGCTCCAGTGATGAAGACAACGTCCAGCCAGCCCCGATGACCGACGAGAACATTTTTTTGTTTTGGCCAAATCTCATCGGTGCGTTCGAGCCCGACCCCTTCATACTGAGAGCATCCGAGGTCTGACAGCACAAGGTTACGCCCGCATCATCCTGGCCATCGCGTCACTGAATTTTATGCCACTGCACCCGCGGCGCTGCAGTTTCCTTTACACGGTGTCATGCTTGCTGGACGCCCTCGACGGAATGGCTGCTCGTCACTTTGAGCAGAGCACGCGCTTCGGAACGGTGCTCGACATGGTGACAGACCGGTGCACAACGACATGTCTGCTGGTGTTTCTGGCCGCGGGCAAGCCAGCGTACGCGATATACTTCCAAGGCCTTATCTGCCTAGATGTGGCGAGCCACTGGATTCTCATGTTCGCAACGCTGGCCATGGGCGGTCAGGGCCAGAGCCACAAGAATGTCGCTTCTCGCGCCAGTTGGATCATGAAGGTGTACTACAGCAACAAGGTGGGTGCCTGTCGCGAACTCACGTGGTTAGGCTAACGGCACAGACGGTACTTTTTATCGTGTGCGCGCTGAACGAGCTGTTTTTCATTTCTCTCTACCTGCTGTGCTTCAGCTCGCCGCTCATAACGCCGGCGCTACTTCCATCGGCGGGTCTAGCGTCTGATGGCACGACGCCGGCCACTCCGCACCAGCCAGAGCCGTCGCTGTTCTTCCCGTCACCGTTTTCGGCAGCCGCCATGGAGATGGCACGGGCCAACAAGATGGACTCGACAGTGCCGTGGATCCTGACGCTGGCGTCGTCGCCGGTGATGCTTTTGAAACAGTACATCAACGTGGAGCAGCTAGTCAGGGCCAGTATGTGGCTTGCCGAGGGCGACCGGAGAGACCGCATGCTGCGGCAGATGACGCGCCGTTGACGGTTGTAATTCCGCGTTTGTAGTTAAATATCATAGCGGCGTTTTTGACTCGTACTGACACGTCTCACCGGGCGCTCCCGTCCCGCAGAAGACGCGACTCCATCAATTCGACAGAGCAGACGACTTGAACGGCCCAGCCGACTACAGAGCCGACGAACGTGACCAAACCCCGGCCTGCCCCACGCGACCTAAACCCGAGCTGCTCCACCCGATCAGCCACCGGACTGCCGCAACCGAATGAGCGCGCTGAGACTGCGCGCATGGAGGACAAGTACGTCGGCCTCGCGCTGGCGGTGACCTCGACGTTAGGCATCGGCGCATCATTCGTCATCACTAAGAAGGGCCTCAACGCAACGGCGGCTAGGCACGGATTCGAGGGTGAGGGATTCGCTTACTTGCGCAACCCGATATGGTGGGCCGGGATCGTCGCTATGGCCGTCGGCGAGGTCTGCAATTTCTCGGCCTACGCATTTGCACCTGCCATCCTCGTCACACCGCTCGGTGCTCTGTCGGTGCTGATCGGCGCTGTGCTGGGCAGCTATGTGCTGGGCGAGCGGTTGGGCACACTGGGCCGCATCGGCAGCGCCATTTGTCTTGTCGGCAGCGTCGTCATTGTACTGCATGCTCCACCTGACAAGGAGCTGGAGAGCATCGACGAGCTGCTGCACTATGCGCTAATGCCGGGCTTTCTCTTCTACGCCTTTGTCGTGGCTGTTTTTGCCATTACCATGATCTACTGGGTCGCGCCGCGGTACGGTAAGAAGAACCCGATGGTGTTTCTCAGCATCTGCTCCACTGTCGGCTCTCTCAGCATTATGGCCATTAAGGGCATTGGGCTGGCGTTGAAGATGACTTTTCGCGGTGACAACCAGTTCAAGTCTGCGTCGACCTACGTCTTCCTCATCATGGTTATTGTCTGCATCTTGACGCAGATGAACTACTTCAACAAGGCGCTCAGCCAGTTCAGCACAAACATGCAAGTGTCATTCAAACCGTTTGCACATAACCGCTGACCATTTATAGAGTAAATCCCCTCTACTACGTGACCTTCACAACATGCACCTTAGTTGCGTCTTTTATACTCTTCCGTGGCTTCAACACTGCCAACGCAGTAAACGCCATTTCACTAATATGCGGCTTTCTCATCATATTCTCAGGGGTTTACCTCTTGAATCTATCCCGCGAAGACCCCGACGGACTCCAATCTCGTCGCGGTGATGAACGGGGTCTCTATCAGGAAGTCGAGGGTATTCCCTCGGATGGTGTGGCTGGTTTGGCAACGAGGATGAGTATGCAGGCAAGACGAAGTGGGGATGACGACATGAATGAAGAACGGGAATTGCACCGGTGGGCAAATCACCATCCAAAACACTCACCTGACACCGACTTGGGGAGCCTCTGAGCCTCTTTTTCTTTTTCTTTTTTCCTCGCCCTTGAATGTATTATGCAAATGTATCATGGATGCCATTTCTGACCCCTCCTTGGGGGTCACTTCACTTATGACTGCGGTTGTGCTTTTGTGGGCACGTTGTACAACAGATGGAAGTTTTTTTTCTCTCCGATTTTTGTTGTGTGAAGGTGTGAACAGCACAGTCCTTTGTATCAAAACCAAGGAGAGCTGCTGGATGAACAAATTGTTCTTATCAGAGCCTGAAGGTGGTTGCATGTTAATGTACCACTGGGCTGCACGTTGGCATTATTCAAGGTGGGTCAAAAAGTTCGCAGAATCTTACTGACGTCGACACAACTGTTCATCCATAATCTCCACACTGATC